ACACCTTGTATATAGCGTAGGAAGCAACATGAACACCTCAGGGCCTGAGTCTCCCAGGAGAGGCATACCTTAAGCTTTGAGAACCTTTATGTTCCATTATTCAATGTTTTGTTTTAATAAAGACAAGAGGTCGCTTACAAAAGTTTGATCATTGTTTAACATACAAGATGATGTGTATTCATTTCCATCATTTTATGCCTTTCTCATGACACCCCTCATTTACTGGCTCTTTTGAAGTGTCGCTTGCATTACTTTGAGTTCCCTGAACTCACTTGCAGTTGGCAGTTCATTTTCAAGTTAGCTTTCCTATCATATTAATGGCAGTTTAGATGCTTGCACACACACAATTTTTCTAGTATACCTTGCAGAGTTTAGTATCTCTTCTGTAGTGTCATTTTTTTAAATGGTGGGAGGCTCTAAGAACACAAATGGACATATATTTAAAACTGATTATCTCCAGTCCCCCTGGTAAATGCTTCTCTTGTAAGTACACATTATCTGAACTATTTTTTAAGATGTGCTTTCCCCTGCAGAATTTTGTTTTATCTAGCGGGATCTCTGGCTCTCTAAATTCTGGTATGAATAAATATCACTGTGTCTCTTCACAGCATTTTGGATTTATTTTATACTGTATGACTTATGACCTTCTGTGCTCAAGATTGTAGTTTTGGAGACCAATGGGTAATGTTTGCAGTGGTAGTATCAAAGAGCCTTGTTGTATCTTAAAGATCAGCAAATATTGACACCCCACCACAGTGATTTTAAATGCATTTTTGTCATTGTCACATATAAGGATTCAAGCCTCCTTAATAGTCTAGATCTCTGAATGCTTTGCCCACAATAACAGAAGATGAAAAAGATCATAATACTTAGAGCTTTTCTTAGAATGTCATATAAACAGTACCCTTTTTGTTCTTGCAGTACCTTGTAGCCAGTGCTAATTCTCCTTACTAGTTGTAGAGCTTTCCAGCTCAAAGAAAGGAACTTTTTGGTGTGGAGCACATGATGAAGGCCTGGGGCTGGCCAGATGAAACTGGTGAGGGATTGTCCTGATAAATGTGAGGATAACTTGTTCTCATTGTGGTGTGAAGAAAGGGCCCTAAGGAATTAGTCACAGGGTTAGTGTTGGGGCCAGTACCAAAGCCAGGGAATTTCAGGGGAGAGTTCCATCTTCAGGGAAATGCAAGTCAGGGAACCAGCATTCCCACTTTTTTGCCTAAAATAGAAGCCTTTTGAGTCTGAGCCTTCAGTTCAGGCTAGAGCACCATTACAAGCCATCAATGGCACCTGAGAAATGATCTACTCACAAACAAAGTGAGTATTATTCCTGAGCATTATTTTGAGGAATCCTTATTCTTCAAGTGGGCACTTCTGTGCCTGGAAGTCATCCAAGCCCCAGTCTGTCGGTGCCTCCACCTTGAGAGTCAGGTGGGTGCTTAGTCTGAAAAGAGGCTAACTACATCTTGATGGAAGGGCCAATCTCAGTGGCCCGCTAGTTCCATGATGCAAGTAGTTTTTCTGCAGTGTTCACTTGGGCCATGAGGCTATCCTCCAAAGAGGAGTTTTTCACAGAAAACATGGTAGGAGCACCATGCTGCATTGCCTTCTGTGGTGGAAGAAAGATGGGACATAAATGTACTAGAATAAACCAACTCCTTCTTTTTAAAGAGAATTTTGTGACCTTTTGTTTTTATCAACTATTAGATGCTGAGCAAATGTAATGCTTGGTTAAGGAATGCAAGTACATGGGCTTTGTTTGGTATGTTAAACATGAGCATAGAGAATGTTCATGAAATGGTTAACAAGTCAACCTAGGGGCAATCTACACTAGGCATTTTTAATGGTATGGGTGAACTCACTGGTATGTCACATAATGCTCATCCTAATCAGACTTTTTCATACTACTTCTGCTATTATATTCCGGATTTCTTTCAGAGTAGTTATCTCACAACTTTTTATATGTTGTACATATAACAGCATGTACTAAACTTGGGGTACTGTTCTGGGGACAGGCGGAGTGAAGTGGAGGTGTCCTAATGGGCTTGGGCAAAAAAGCTGCTATCCTGAGGAGACTCTTTGGTTGTGTTCCAACCTCCTTCACCCCCCCCCCCCCATCTACCGCTACTTTTTCTGACTTGCAAATGCAATGTGGCTCTTGGTATTTGGAAACAAGTTTAAGTCTGAAAAGGCATATTTATTCAGGAGTAAATCACATTGTCTTCAATAAATTTACTCTCAACTGAGAAAGTTCACACATAATGATAACGAATGGCATGAGGTTACTGCAGGATATCTTACCTTCTGTTCCACATTCACACATACATGTGGTATCCACTCATGAGTAGTTTCCATGCTCCTCTTTCTTCCCTCTGAATGGTGGCATGACATTCCTGTGGCCAGGAATCAATCCCAGGATGCACTGCTCCTGCCTGCTTCTCCCCCATTGGCCCATATACTTCCCTGGACATATTCTCAGCCAGACACCACTTTTCCCCGCCGCTGCTCTGCACAGCCACCATCTACTCGGAGGAGGACAGTTGCTCTGCAGGAGAAACAGAGCAGCACCTGCCCACTGCTGCAACACCCCTCCTAAATGGAAGGGAATGTAGTGAAGATCTCCCTGGTGCTCTCTTGGATTTGGTGAATGCCAAAAATATTAGCTTGGAAATACAGCTCAAAAGATTATTTTCCTTTTGGGTTACACATTGAAACAGAATTTCACATAAACTGGAACAGTTGTGTGGTCATGTAGTTTCAATATATATTCCAATTTCAGTTTCCCGTCCTCCCAGTTTTATTTATTTAGTTATTCGTTTCACTTCTCTATCACCCAATAGCAAAAGCTCCCTGGGCAGTTGACAATTAACCAAATACAATAGATACATTAAAAATACAAATTCCAATGTGCAAATTTTAGAACAGCAAAAATTCCATTATAGAAAAATGTGTAATAGTTTAATATCTAAAACAATTTCCATATTGATGAAGTATTGACAAAGTCACATAGGTTCAGCTGCCATAGTAGCTATGACTTTAATGCAGAGATAAACATATAGAAGATATGTGCTCTAACCATATTCAGATCTGTTAGTGTGGAAAAATGTAAACTCCCTTCACGTTATGGGGTAGCACAGAAGTAGAATGAAATGAAATAAAATAAAATAACTACTCCTATACTCCTATTCAGGCATTCTTGATCTGTGTATTGCAAATATTTCTGGAGGGAACATGTAATCGCCCTGCTGCTGTATTGCTTTCCTTATCCTATGTTCTTGGAGGGTAACTTTATGAATAGGAGATCCTTCTGTGTAGGGGAAACTTCTCCACGTAATCCAATGATTTTCTAGGACATAGAAGAGGATGATGAAGAGGAAAGGGGCTAGTTTGCTTCCTTTCTTCATGTGTTTTAGTCTCCTGCAACATCACATCCCCTTGTGAAGCAGGATGTGGTCATTGCTTGGACTAGGCAGTCTAAGGTTGGTCAACTGAATTTAAGCCTTTCCTTTTCTCCAGCAAGTGATGTGCTGTCAAAGCTCACAGCACTTGCTGCCTGATGGACAGAAACATGCATCACTGTATATACCCATCTTTGAATTTGGGGCAGAGTAAAAATCTGATGCTTTGCTTATGGAATAGCTATTCAATAGGCACAATTTAAGGGCATGGAATTCTGCATTCAGAATATTCATTGATTTTCACCTTATGCAACCCCATGTGTCAGGAATATAGGTCAATACTGAAAATAGCTCACTAGAATATATCAATGAACTTTGAAAGAGATTGTGGGAGTTTACTCTTGACCTGAAATTGAACTGAAGGGCCCAAACTGATCAAACTACCACCTGAAAATCAACTTCTGATTCCCAATTGTGAATTTGTTTGTTCACTGCTTTCTTACTACAACCAACATGAGAGAAACATGGCATAAGTTGCTTTGTAACCCGCCCCAAGGCTCTTTGCGAAGGGGGCGGCATAAAAATGCTCTAAATAAAAAAAATAAAAAAAAAATAATTTCCTCTTAGCAGCTAAACCTTCTGACTAAAACGAGTAACATACAATGCCAGCAACACACAGTGACCATTATAACATTAGCTTAGGAGTTTGTTTAAGAAAGGAAAGACTGTACGAAATGCTCAGCACAAATTTTCACTTTGGAAGAATAGTCGTGTGTGAAACTGGAGGAAAATAGAAACCAACTTTTCTTCACATGTCATGGATTGATTCATGTCTCCGAACCTTTGTGGTTTTATGTAGGACTCTGAACAATGTGTGTTAACACATGCTATGTAAATAAATAAATAAGGTATATTGAAGCATAAGAACAGCTCTGCTTGATTGGACCAAGTCTTACCTGATCCAACATTCTGGTCATACGGTGGCCAACAAGATGCTTCTGAGAAAACTACAAGCAGGACATGCCAGGAGGCCCGGAACTCTGTCCTGTTGTTGTATCCCTACAAGTGGAAACAGAGAGAGGAGGCATACTGTGCAACACATTAAAAGAAGAAGAAGATGACAATGTAGGAAAAATCCTCCAAAGTGGTCTAGTTCTAATGAGCTCAATATGTTTCAGAAAGCTTTCTTACCTACCAACAGAAATATAAACACTTTTACGCATATGCATCAATAGACTGATATTGCCATTTTAAAAATGCCTAGAGCACATAGGATATATTCAACATGGTCTTTTCTGGTAAATGAAAGAAAACACATTTTTGTTTTCCATTTCCTGTATCATATATACATACTTGGAAGTTTTAACATGGATGAGATCATCCCAGAAGAAATATATCTTTTTTGTGCTCTAGGCATTTGAAGCATTTTCCCAAGCTGAAACACAAGTTTGTGTGTGTGTGTGTGTGTGTGTGTGTGTGTGTAAGCACTCTGTATTCTTGTTAGTAGACCAGGCCATTTATGACAAAAGAAATCTTTCTGAAATACATTGGATTCAATTAAATTAGGTTTTTTTTTGAAGAATTTCTTTGTTCTTGCTTTTGTAGCCCGGCAGTATGCATTCAGAGGAATTTTGCCTCTTCCCCTGAAGGTTTCGTCATCATGACTTACACCAGGGGTGGACTGAAGATACAACCAGAGCTACTAGAATATCTCTGCAGTGGATCCACAGATATTTCTTACCTTTCTCCCACCTTTAAATGATGTGGCTAAGGCTGTAGTCCCACAAGGGAGAAAGCCCCACTGATCTCAGCTAGACTTATGTCTGAGTAGGTATGTAAAGGACTGTGCTGTGAAACAAAACTTGGGGGGAAATCAGTATGGAATGAATTTAGTTAGCGGTATCTGGTCCCCAAATTTGTTCTAAAACTATGCTTGCTTTTCTGCTGTTTTCCACTTGGCCTGGGTTACTGTATCTCTTGGTCCTGGTAAAACTGAGGTAGCTCTTGCAAGTGTCCACCTGTATCTTCCAGTGCAAATTATGGAATACACTCTCCAGAGCGGTCCACCTGGTGCCACCTCTCTACTCCTTTTGGCACCAGGTAAAGACCTTTTTATTTAACCACCATTTTAATAATGTCAATAATTTAATAATAATCTTACACAGTTGCATTTTCTTTTTCCTCTGCCTTTCCTTCTCTTCTTTTTCTTTAGTTATGAATTGTTATGTTGTGTTATTATTGAATGTTTTAATTGTATTTTATACCACTATTTTTATTGTTTGTAAGCTGTCCGGAGGCTTGTTGCAAAGGACGGCATAGAAATATCTTAAATTAAATTAGTTGTATGCAGAATATATATTTGCAAGGCAGCAGGAAATCCATGCATTTAAATGCAATGTTTCAGCTTAATCATGGGACTATTTCGAAGCTTGAGAGCTGGCTATGTCCTTCCAAGTTGTTTCTGAAGAATGAATAGGTTGCTTCTGAACTGGACAAGCAAGGATTCTTTCATACTGAGCATGAAGTTATAGGAGGATGAAGAGTCAGAAGTCAAAGATGAGAAAACATCTTGGGACTGTTTCTGAAAAGCCCCTGACTGCTGCTGAGACGAAGGTCTTGGAAGCAGTCCACTGACAGGTCTCCTGGCAGGGGATTTGTTACTGTGAGAGCTTGGCTAAGAAAGGATTTGGATATAAAAGTTCTCTTTATTCTCTTGCTGACTTGCAAAACTCCCCCCACCCCCATGCCCATACCTCTGCATAAAACACGCACATTCCTACATCCCAGAAATAATGCATATAATATGTTTAATTGTCAGAGGTGAGACTAAACTGAAGAATTCATTAAGTCAAGGGTTTTACTGCAAATGAAACCAGCAAATACTATGCAGAAAAAATGATAAGCAAATAATGGGAAGCATTTAAAAATACTTGTACCTGAAGACCATTGTGCTAGATGTAGATATGAGTGAAGCTATTTAAAATAGAATACCAGGCTGTTGCTTACTTTTCACCTGTGACCTGGTCCATACATGTAAAATAACAGAATACAGTTGTAAGGGCCAGGATGTGGGCAGCAGCTGAGACAGGCAGAATGCCAGGACCAGGGTGCTGTGTAGAACTAGGTCCTGCAGCTTAATAAGACTAGATGCTGGTGGCATGGCCAGCAGTCCAGGCTCAGGGCCAAGGCAGCAGGCAGTCCAATATTATACCAGCAAGAGAGAGAGTACAGTCCAGGAACAGGCCACTGGTTTAGTGCCAGGGTGGTCCAGACAAGAGTGAGCTGGAGCAGGGCAGGAACAACTTGGAACACACAGGAGCAGGGTAAAGGCAGACTAGGATATGTAGGATCAAACAGGAACAAGGCAGGAACAACTGGAGCAAGGTTCAGGGCATAGTGATGCAGGCACAAGAGCATCCTGAAGATTACTTGCTTTGCTGTGGCAAAGAACAGCAGTGCCAGAAAGCCTTTCATGCTGGTCTTCAGGACCTCCAGCTGTGCTGCATAATTGCTCTTAGGTTGCTCCCTGCAAGAGCCTGCAAGGGTGCTTCTGGTTCTGCAGGCACTTGCAGGGTCACTCAGGCCCTGATCGTGACAACAGTGATGTAACAGAACTTAACAGTGAAATCACAGAATAGTCTGTATGACTTTTAACTGTGGATGGAAGAATTGTGTTATGAAAGTTTTACTATGTGAAAATCTGTAAGGATATTTTGTGGGGGGGGGGAGACATGGGTAAGGACTTCACTTGTTCCTGCTGAAATCTTGTCTTCTGTGTTGGTGATGGATCAGTGCAAGTTATGTTTCTCTCCATTTCTTCATTGTACTTTCCCCATTTTTTAAAAACTCAATTTCTTATTTGAGGAACACCACTGTAAAATTTGGGGAAGTGCAAATCTTGAAGGATAACTGAGATTTGGTTTGCGTTCCTTTTCTGTCCAATGAGCAAAGATACAAGAGCCTTATCTTTCCTTGCATCTGGTTATCTAACTGTTCAGGGAGCTGGTCCATAAGAAAAATAATGATAATTTCTTTAATGACCCTTTCTAGAAGGTTTAATTTGCAAACTTGTATAGGTTTGCTAAACATTTCTAGATAGTTCAGTTTGCAAAGAATAGCTGTACACAGCACAAAGCAGCAGCCTGAGAATAAGTACAAGTAACACATCTTTCCTTTTTCACCTCCTCCCACAATGATATGGGAAGCTGGAGTCCCATGTAACTCATACAGCCTCTTTTGCCACTTTCTGAAATGTATGGTATGACTTTAAGGCAGATTGTGTTTTATGGAGGAAAGGATAAGTCTGTAGTGCTGAGAACTTCTGGGAGAGGTTATAGCTGTACTGACACTACAGTATTTCATGACCACAGTTTATGTTTAACGAGATGGAAACTTGCTAGCCTAATTCTCAGCTTTTTCACACTTTGAACACATAGGGAGGTGCTTGGTTCCGCACCTGATTGCCATGGCCATTTCCATGATTTCTATCAAGTAGACTGATGGTGAAAGAGGATTGTAAATGCAGGGCCTGTACTTGTGCAAGGGGACTTCTGTGAATGAAAGGCCTATACTCATGCTCAGGAACTATGGATTACTAAGTACAAGTCCTATGTGCAAATAATTTTAGGCACATAGGATCTTTTCTGGCCTTCAGACTGATGAGTCTGATTGGACAGCAGGCAGGCCCAGCCCGTACAAATACATGGAGGAGAAGCAATCAAGTATATGAGCATTTCCCAGGCATGGCTTTAGAGCTTTTCTACATGAGACATTTATTCTGTGTTTGGCATTCTGTATTCACGGTTGTTTATACATTTTTAGACAATGTTTTGACCTTTCAGTTTCACTTGAACAGTGCTTTTCACAAATTCTTTTAGGGAAGGGAAGATGAGGTATTATTTGTTAAATCAAAATAGACTTCCCCAGTTGTGTAATTGTGCTGTTCCACTATAATACAGTGCCATCTAGAAGTCCTGTAGTGGAAAAGCAGGGAAGGTAATGCTCTTCATGTAGGGTTCTGATCTCAGTTAGCGTTAGGGTTCAGATAAAATCAAAAGTTGATACTGCTTTGGAATATAGGCTGGCTCATTAGAGGATACTTGAGCTTTCTAGCTTTGGATCCAGCTTCCTATCAGTATGCATATAAAGGAAGCAGGAAAAAACTGCATGCAGGTAGGTCAACAATCCTGCTTTGAGCTCCTTGACTATGCCTAGACTCTGTTTCAATAACTTTCATTGCCATGTTCCAACTATTCCTGAATCAGTGTTTGCCTTTTCTTTGCCTTTTTCCTGTAGCAACCCTCTGTTCCCCTGGTTCTTCTTTGAATAAACTTCCTAAGAATGGCAGTTGCTTTGCTTTCTCTAGCAAGGAACCATGAAAATGAAAGAGATGAAATGTGATTTTGTGGTACAAAGTATGTACCCAAGTTTCTTCCACTTATAATTTATTCTCATTTGCCCTGTTGTGTCAGGGTCTGATGAGAGTAGTTCTGCATCATATACCTGTATCTTTGATTGAAGCAAAACAAAACAAAACAGCCATGGCTCACATGGTAATCAGCAGCTCTACTCAGTGAATCTTCCCACACCAGCTCATCTTTAGGGGCAGCCTTCTGGGATGGGTGACTACATGAGAGAGACCCTTCCCAAGACAATGAGGCTTGCCTGATGATGATGTTGTTATCATTTCTGTGCTGGGCAAAGTAATTGCTCTTCTGCCAGGCATTTTAGAGTCTAGATTTCACCATTTAGACTGATCATTTTAAGTGCCCACTTTAATAAATCTTATACTCTGCTTTTGTCTTGCATTGATTATGTTGTTATTAGTTATCTATTACAGATTGTGTTTTTTACTGTTTTACTATCATGTAAACTAAGCAGAGAACTTTTGCTATTGGATGGATTCACATATAAACAAGGCAAAACCAAAAAAAGTTTATTCACGCATTGACTGATTTTTTTTTGTGCCACTTAGTGTCTGGTATGTGGTGCCCTGGTTCACACAGCACAAGAGTCTACAGTGGCTTAATTTACCTTCAAGCAACCTATCTGGGTTAGAACAATAGGAGCCATGGCTGTTTAGATACCAGTGAGTGCCCAGTATGATGTAACAGCCCGCATGGAAAATAGAGCTGTGGAGGCATGTTGTGTCATACGAAGCTTTCCATTTACAAATTCTCAAGTTGGGGTGCTCATCTCAGCTCAGCTTGACATCAGAGCTCCTCCCTTTGTTACCATCACTCTTATTTTTATGGGCAGTTGCTTCAGTTTGGTTTCCTACTGTTGCTGCGTCTGAAGCTTCTGTAGACTGATGCTATGCCCCAACCCAACCCTATCCTGGTACTTCCCATTCCACACTTCTCATTTATGTGGCATCTTTCCATTTCCTTCCTACTATTCTCATCCCTTCATTATTATTCCCTAGAGTCAAAAGCTTTGCCTTTCTGCCTCTTTCCCCATTTTATTTAGCACCTCCCTCCTCCTGTTTTGCTTCCAGAAGCCTAACCCACCTCACCCTCCACTCCTTTGCCTGCCTTTCCTTGCTGGCATTTTCTTTTCCTGATACATCTTCCTGGAGTTTCACATGCTCTAGATTAAATATTCCTGTGAAAAGCATCCCACTTCTCCCTATATGTGGAGAGGAAGATATATGCAAAAGATAGATTTTGCACATATGCAAAAGATAGATTCTGGATGTGGAAAAAGAAAATGAAATTTTCCCTCAGCCATGAAACTTATTGAGTGATGCTGGGCAAGCAATATCTTTCAGCCCATTCTGCCTCTCTTGCAAACTATGAGGATAGATAAAAGTTTACAGTTAGGTCTTCACCATAAGGCTGCATATTGAAATAGTCTGAAAAATACATTCTATGTAATAATGTACCATTGTGAGGCAATGGCACATCATTTAAAAAGTAAAAAGAAATTTGGCTTAGTTATGTAAACCATAAATCTTAAAAGCCCTTTTATTTTCTTTACTGAACAATGGACTTTCATTTTGATTTTCAGACTGCTTTGCCAATTTCCTGTTCATACTGGCTACCTGCAGGGAACCCAAGAAAATGGCTAGCAGGAAGTCACGTCCATCCTCTTCTCTGTTTCTCTGGATCCAATATGCAATATTAATACAGGTAAAACTATTCATTAGGCATCTGACTGTGATTCACTGAATAAATGACAAACTCTTCTGACAATGTTAATTTGTGTAATTCACACTTTTAAAAAAATAAACTACTCAATAACACTATTCCCTCCATCAACTACAACTGAATAAACAGAATAGTCTGTGTAAGTTATGGTTACTTTAGTAATATGAAGCAAAACTCAGTGTTTGCTGTATCGGGCATATACATGGTTCAGATGATTATGGTGTGCTGGTGCATGTGAAGATGAAAAAAGACTTCCATAACCTTATTTGTTTCTCCATAAAGACCCATGTGAAACATGCTATGTACAGTGAGAAACTATGTACCAAGGAGTCATTGTCCGGTCTCTTTGCAAATAGGAATTAAAAAACCCCAATTACTGAACAGTGCATGTTAGTTTGGCAGTAAATGCTACTGTGCCCAGTGGAGCTTAGATCCATGTAAGTGTGTGTAGGACTGTAGATTTCAAATGCTGGCACAAAGCATTTCCACAGGGCAATAATAATGTCAGATTAAATTTTTGGCTTCTTGATGTAGTCATATGATAATCTGAGCTTGTCCACTCTATGGAACAAGTTATATAGTGTGTGTGTGTGTGCATGTATTAAAAAGCAAGCCAAAATCAAAATGCTGCATATTTATTTATTTATTTGCATTTATATACCACCCTAGTAGCCCAGAGGGCTCTCTGGGTGGTTTACAAAGAAACAAAGCATATGACTATATTTTGTAGGAATTAAAAAAAGAAGATGCTAGCATCTTTAGTGGGTATAAAGAAGCATGACAGAAATGGTTTGCTAATTTACTTTCATGACTGTCAGGTACAAATATGTTCCTTCCGTCTTTAATCACAATGATAAAATTCCCCATTTGCTTCAAACAGGGTAATACTGGAATCTTATGATAATATTTTATCTTTTTTATGTCCCTCAAGTTCAATTTTGGAAAGATGTAACATGAACTCAGTTTCTCCCTGCTGCAGCCCCCCTCCCCACTGTCCACATAGCTCATGTGCCAATCTTTTTAGAAGTAAAATGAAAGCAACTGGTATCTCAACAACCATTTCAGTGCTTGAAGAGTATGACCTTAACTAGATTAGTTATGATAAAATGCATTAGTACAGAAGTGAAACTTTAGATGAGCTAATGTTAGGATAGAATACCTTCTTAATCTATATAAAAATATACAACTAATATACCTCAAATTGTTTCCTTAGTCTCTGGGCTTCCAAATCTGGAGAATTCTCCAAGGATATATCACAATTATGGGAGTCTTTTTTGCTTTAATAACTAATATAACGTGCTTTGAAGTAATGTGGTCTCACACTGTAATCTACCATCAAACACCTAAACTAACAGAAAAAGTAGAACCATCACAATGGAGATTGTAGAGACGGAAGTGTGTAATCAGATAAATGAAAAGAAAGTTTTGAAAAGGATTGCAGAGGAGTAACAGGAGATATTACTGGTGTGTTTCTTACTTCATTGTTGTTTTTCTTTCAGTAAAAGTTCTATCAGCTGGGGAGAGTTGTTCTCTTCTTTGAAGCTAGCTCTTGTTTCTCTGAAGTCAGATTCCTTATTCCCAGGGCTCCACTCTGCAATGCCAGCACAAACATACATCAGCAGCTGCACAGCACTTTCAAGAGTTAGCAAGAAGCTATCAAGCAATTACTTTTTCCACTTTAGATCCATGCCTGTGATTTTGCGTTCCAAGTCTGAAGATTGGGGTATGAGAAAATCAAAGACAATGAGTGAAGTCAACAATTGCAGAAAGCATACTTGTGTAGACTAGGAAATGGCTTATACCTGCAATTAACTGGAAAGTTAATATTGTATAAATGAGCAGCATAACATCAACAAAACATTTTAGATTAGATGTTCTTTGAATTTTTGGGCACTAACAGAAAATGTTAGTGTACTATCAGTCAGGCTGATAGAAAATCCTAGCCTAGCATATCCTACTTGGTGTATTCTGCACTTGATCTTTTGCTTAGAAACATTGTGTTTGAACCAGGCTTAATCATGCTTTGAGTCGATTAACTTGTTCCATTAATTTCAGTGAGTCTGCCTTAGCATGACTAAATCTGGATCTAACCTATTGTTACCAGTCAGATGATGAAGTGCAGGATATACAATGTGTACAGCAGAGTTTATGAGGCCGTCAGTTTAGAAAAGCTGCAGGTATGTTGAGCTGTAAGTCTGCATATATGCTTGCCACAACATGCATGATGTAACATTGAAGTAGCACATGCATACACATTTGTATGCGCATGTATTTGTATCCCATAATCATTCTACCTCAAAAAAGAAAGAGATAATTTAATTTTCATTAAATTGATCTCTAAAATCTAACTTATTTTCTCTACTGGTGGGTTGTTAACCGGGGCTGATAGGTGTTTGGATCCTCTGGATCCATTGCTTCTGCCTTCCTTATCAATTGTGCCACTGTCAAGAGTCCCTGTTCTTCCCTTACTGAGCTTGAAGTCTGAACCACAGGAGAGGGAGCTACTCTGGGTGTGTGTGTGTGTTTGAGGTGGCTAGGATAGACTTGGGGTGGATGGATGAGGGAAATCAATCAGAGCTTCTCCTCTGAGGTTGATGCTGTCTTGGAGTTGGAGTTTTGCTGTGATGACTCCTTGGAAACAGAATTTCTGTCCATAAAGCAATGTGATATAGTAATACAAGCTGAATATTTGCAAAGAAAACATGAGCTCAAGCAGAATGAACATTACTAGCCACTGAGTTTTTAAAGGAGCAGTTTTGTAGGCATGTTTAGACAGAAAAAAGTCCTACAACTCGGCATTGCTGGCTTGGGAGTGCTGGGAGTTGTAGGAGTTTTTTTCTGTCTAAACGTGCATTGGATTTCACCCTATGTGAGCCTTGTGATATGAAGACTTGTGTCAGCTGTCATTTCTTGGCTGCTTCACAATTTGGTTTTAAAAAGTAAGTAGGGAAAAGTGACTTCAGGAGGCTCCATAAAAAGTTTTATAGATCACAGATGTTAGTTATGGTTACTGTATGTGGAACATTTGTTGGTAATAGAAAACATACCAAAAATGGCAGCGTCTCACAGATGATAAAGAAGATGTCAGCCATCTGGTCACTGAAGTACTGTTGATGCCTTTACTATTGTCACTGATGAGCAGAGCCTGTGACCTAAGAGTAATGGATGCCGTAAACACCACTGGGTGGCCAAAATGCAGAGGGATTCCTGCCTATACTGGAAACTATTTCAAGAACTGTTGATTCAAGATAATCGCTGGAACCCACAACTTCTGAAATAATTTTGGGCATCCCTGGTTCTGAGAACATAAGCTGATTGTCACCTTTCTTTTAGTACCTTAAATGACTTCTCTTTCTTAAGAAGGTTTCCATACTGATTGTTCCATAGGAATCCATTATTGTTCTTCTAAAATGGGTGGATTTTATTCTGTTAGTCTGACTTAGAATAGGCTTGGAATTTCCATTGAAATGAATGGAGATAAGTCATACTAGCATTGGATACAACCCCAAGAGCTGTATCTCCTCAAGCATGTGAATATTTACATAGTATCAGCTCAAAGCATCTTACTGCCTTGAGCCCAGTGCCAAATGGCACCCCCTTTTCCATCCCCCCCGCCTCCCCCAGTGCTAGGTCTATCCCTTTAAAAAGTATTGAGATGCTAATTTCTGTCCTCCTGCACCCCGTGCACTCCCATGGTTCAGGCTGCATCACCACCAGCTTGGCAGGCCCAGTTCTGGCAATATATATGTCTTCAAAACAATAAGAACTGTGTTTATAACTCTGCATTGACTGAAAATCCTTGAGTAGTTTGAAGAAATGTATGGTAAAGGCAATGGCCATGCTGTCTGGGGATGAAGGGAGTCGTCGTCTAACACAGCTTAGAGACATCAGGTTGTGGAAGGCCGATTTGAAGGAACTCTTCATCCACTGTGCCTTTCCAAACCTACTTTCCCACAGAGTGCCAGTAGGTGAGAAAAAACATCTTTTCTTGTAGAAAGGCAGTATTTTAAGCACTGTTGAGTTGACTAAAACGCTGGGAAGATCAGTGCTCACATACAGACTGAATCAAAATGTTATGTCTGAGCCTCAGTTTTTGACACTGGTGTTCCCTTCATACTTACTACACATTCCTATGAACCAAGGCATAGCCAGTCTCCACACTCTTGTGCCATTTTACTTCACTGAACACTGTAACACACCTCTTTAGAATTGCACAGAGCTCCACCTAATCATGGAAGAGACCTTTTCATCTCAATGAATTCTACATATTCCACTGAATATTTTTACTTAGAAAGAAAGAGAAAAGTGTATAATGAATTTTTAAAAGTCCACTTGTTCATTTATTGTCATATATCAAGGTCAGGCTGCTACATTTCAGAAAAAATGGCAAGACACAGTTCACTGTATTTTTTTCCCACGGAGAGATTTATTCTCTGAAAATTGCCCCCATTTATTGTATCTTCTTTTCTTCACACATAGAGATAGAAAAGCATATGTGCAGTATGATATATCTGTATCTCTTTCTATACAGCCATTAGGCTGAAAAACATATTTGAAGGTATGTGAAAATCCTCTATGAATGGTACCTATTTCTGTCTATCGTATGCTTCTCAGTAAAATTACATTGTATTTCAAAACTGTGTTATATATTATTCAGACACCAAAACTCAAATTGTGAAGCATTCGCATCCATTTGGGAGCAATTATTTACACCAATATTCTCCCCATCTCACCAGCTTCAGCAGAGTGAGATGACAGTTCAGAGCCTTGTCCTTCATTAAAGGCTATCTTACGCAGCCAGTCGATTATCTCTTTGTATGATGATGTCACTCAGAAGCCTTATGCCATCGATAACTGCAGCTTGCACATTGTGAATGTCCCAAAGAGTGAGCTGATACACACTTGCTTAGGATCTAAATTCTGAGCAGAACACCTTCTCCAAGACCAACTGGCCCATGATTGGAGATAAGCCATGGAGGATTCGCGCATAATCCCACCAAGGCGCATGACTAAGAGTACAACAATTCGAGATCATGTGGTAACAACCCAACTCTGGAATTCCCTCCCTGGGGAAGTGTGGTTGACTCCCGCATTGTTGGGTTTCAGATGACAATTAGAGCCAAAGTAGCACAGTGGTTAAGAGCTCAGGTCCGCGACTCATGTGGTGTGGGTTCTCGTTCCTGCTCAGCCATGGAGCTGACTGGGTGATCTTGGGTCAGTCACAGACTCTCAGCCCAACCTACCTCATGGGGTGTTGTTGTGGGGATAAGATTGAAAGCAGCAGGAGGAGAATGATGTAAACTGCTTTGAATTCTCGAAAAGGTGGGATATAAATCTAATAAATAATAATTAAAAGCATAACTGTCCACCTGATTTTTTGGAATGTAATATGTCACTGGGACCTTATGATTTCAGATTGTACATTGTCTTATTCTGCTGTTCCCATTATGTGGTTGGAGGTTCTCTTTCTTTATATCTTGATGTAGTTTTAGATACTGCCCTGGGATCCCTTGGGAGAGATGACAGAAAAAAATGATGATAATATTTTTTATTGGACATCACCTGGAGTCAGTCTCAGCATGTAGTTGCTTACAGCTGAGTGTGCAAACTACTTCCACACACAGGTATTGTGTTGGAAGCAATTAGGTTCTAACTATGGTGATGGATCTGTGAAGCCTGTGCATGAAAGTAATTTGTTGTCATCTATTTAAATACATACCCCTTCCATATTCCAAAGGCTTGGGAGGGGTAAAACAGTGCTTGAGTTATGGGGGAAAGGCAGCAGGCTCTGCATTCATTCATTCATTCACTTATTAAACTTATATCCCCCAACTTATATTCCCTTAAAACTTATTATTAAACTTATATTCCCCAATTTATATTCCCCAGTAGGACTCTCAAGGTGGATTACAGAACAACAAAATAAAAACATATAGTAAAACAAAGTAACATTGAAACAGTAATCTACAGAATCTAACAATAAACCAACAATATACACAATTCACAACAATGACATACAGCTGAGAGTTAGACATTAACGTGAGAAGTTAAAGCAATATAGGTTAAAATTCTAAGACACCATAAAATTTAATTCCATTGATTTGCACAAAATACAATCATTTCTTAAAATGCCTCGAAGATAATGTTGGTTTTGCCTGGTGTTGAAAAGGTTGTCATGGTGGTGCCAGGTGAACTGCTCTTGGGAGGCTGTTCCATAGGTGGGGCACAACTACTGAGAAGGCCCCTCTTCTATTCACCATCCTTGTTACCTCCTTGCTTTCTACATGAAATCCACAAGCTCCGTGTCTGCCTCCTTCCAATTTAAACAAAGCATAACCATCCCCCAGACCTGCTCATGCAATAGGTAAAAGTGTGGAGGGGGCAAAGACATGGCCCCGTGCCCCTAGTAGCTCAGCCTTCCCACATTGATAGGGAAGACTTGAAGGTGGCTACTACTTGTGTTCATGGACTACAGAGAAGCCTGCTTGCAGGATGACTTGCAGTGGGATAGAAAGTGGCACGCAAGGCTCTTTCCGTCCATACCTTGCTTCAGAGATGACAGCAGGGATTCCTCCAGGGGAATTCATCTCAGGGCTAGGTTTGGAAGACAAGAGTCCCTTGCCCTCAGGGAAACTCAGGGGGCTCCCTGGGCCTGGTTGATGGGCCTTGATAGGCAGGATTAGGGCTGTGGTTGCTGCATCCTTGATATACATCATTGCTTGAGGTTTGAATGTGCTTCCTTCATCAAAACCTCCTCACAGTTTAGCATTTATTGCATCCAAGAGTTTGGGTCTTTGGACACTGCTTAATCTTGGTACCCCTGCATTGCCAGCTGGGGGAGGATTTGCTTTTTGAACTTTGGACAACTCATCTATAGAATCCCAAATAGTACAGCAAGGCCTTGGAGCATAACTTGTCTTTTTCTTTTTTCCTTTTTATATAGAGTTTGAAGTTGTAGAAGTTTCTGGAAAACTGGCAATAAGAACTTGGAACTTCCTTTTTTCAGCGGGTGAGACTGCCTGGTCATGGCTGTTAGTTTTTGTTTGTTTTGTCTTTCTTCAGACTGATATAGCCATAGACGCTGTAAGGAGTTCTGCTTTCTTTTCCCAGGCAAGGAGGGAACAACCTGAATGAAGTTTCATGTTCGTCATAACCACCACGATAATTAAAAATTGATGCTGTGATGCATGTTGGAATGTGGAAAACAAACAGGGGTCAGAATCAGCTGACCCAAGGTATGAAATATTCAATTAAAAAAACAAAGGGGGCAGGGAAGGAACCACAGGGCCTGGTGAGTAAAGGAAAGCTGCCTGAGGCCAAGGGCTTTGTATAGTACCGCCAATAAGATATTAAAACCACCCCATATTACTTTGTTTTCTATCTCCTGTACAAATAAATATTGAAAATATGTTTATCTGTTCTGTTTTAGCTGTGGAAACAGTTTCCAGAATGTATATATTAAGAGAGGATGTATAGTTATTTCACAGTACTCAAGGCAAGGCAAATGGGAGTATGGCGTTGGGGGAGGCGAGATGAGGGACAGATACTTGAGCAAAAACAGGCTTTAGTAATGGGGGGTCCAGCCTGGGCCATGGTGTACCATGTCCCACATGCTGATTACTTGAACAGACCTGTTGCCAAGATAAATTTCCCTTGGACTCCAGAGTTTATAGGATGTGCTTGGCTGGCCTTGCCAACACAGCAGTTTCTTCCCCACACAAACAACTCTGCTTTTGCGAGTCAGGATATAAACAGAAAGAATGCTTAATTATTTGTATAAAGGGAAAGATAGTGGAAATCTGGAAATTGCATAAGGACGGCAAGGCTCTTCTCTGCTGCATCTGCATGAATGATCATGTGTGGATGAGCTCTGTACAAAAGCTATGAGACACAGCATTCCCACCGTCTCCTAAGGCTGAGAAAAGTTAGAATAGGGGATTCAAGCCTGGCACACTCCCATGTACAACCCTAAGCAGAAATGCTCACCTTCGCATGATTTAGTGACAACCAGCAAGGCAGAAAGGTGCTGTTTCAGAATGTTTTAAAGCATGCTCCCGCTTTGATCCTCAGTCACTTGTGGTGGGGAGTGTGAGAAACATTACCCACAGATGCAGGAACCATGTGCTGTGGGAGAATCCTGCACTGGCCTCCTTTTGTTGACCATGCCTGCACTGTTAATGCTCCCACATGATCGGTAAATGGTTTACTAACAATAGCCTTGCACTCAGAAGTAAAGGATTCTGAGTCCACAAATTAGTTTGCAAATAGGACTCACAGCCCTTCTACACACAAATTCATTCCCAAGTATAACAAACTGTCTTCATTTCAGCAGTATAATTTGGAAGAGGAGGAAGTCATTTTCTAGTTACTATTGTTAAATAGTTGGGCATCAGAAAATCTTGCCATCTATTCCACATTACCCACAAATAGGAACCAGTCTACCCAATGCCTGCTTTTGCCCTAATATAGCCTTTGGCTGCATAGACGATATCACTTCTTCTAGGAGTGAATTCAGCTGTAGAGGATTGTAACTGTAACAGGGTCACCTCTCTCTCTCTCCACACACACAGAGTTATACTGGGTTAAAACTGGAAAACAAGATAGCCATCTTTCTGTCAATATGGAAGTACTTTGAGGAACCATATTAAGAGGTTATGTCCTAGTTTTGTAAGATAACTTTCTTCAGCCTGCTACCCACCAGCAAGGCCTATAGCTGGGCTAGCTTGGCATGATGGGAATTGTAGTCCAACAAATCCAGAGAATGATGGCTTATGAACAGCTGTACATGACTCCTTTAGTTCATCTTCAGTGGTCAAAGAAGGTAGGTTTACCCTTAATCACACTTGCATTTAGGTTTTGCATGAATTAAGTTCTGGTTGTTTCTTGTTTAAAGGGATAAATAGATACCATAGCTGGTGTTCTTTTGGAGTAATAAGACTTCACAACCAAACAGTAGGAGATGTATGTCAGATGGCTCGCCAATAACATTAAAGCAGCTGATATATGGGATATTGAAGGCAGATTAAGTTGTTAATGTATATTAGTATATTCTTAATTTCCTTTTAATTGAAAAAGACATATTGACTTTAATTAGAACCATTTCACAGGAACTGTCAATTAGCACATGTCAAACTAGTTAATTCAGAACAGAATTCTTTTAATTAGGGTCTGCTTTCCTTTAACTGTGGGGCCAATGAAATCAGCCTTTCCTTATCAAGATTTTAAATGTCTCTAAGACATACAATATAATGTAGTCTCTTATCTATTATTAGAAGCCCATATGGACAACATAAAAATGATGATGCTGGCATTGTTCATCAAGCACAAATCGAATCTTCCATTATAAATGGAGTATATGTGTGTGAGTGAGATGAAAAGGGCTCTAAATGCAGACTATTTCAAATATATGGATTTACATCATTTTGGAGAAATTCGACTTTACAGAATCTCTGAAGTGCAGTTTCAAGATCATTGCTAGACCTGATGGATGGTGTCTGAGTCCCAAATGTATTTCCAGAGTGCAAGATCTATTCCCTTGATGTCAATGGAAGATTTTTTTTCTGTGTCATGCATACCTAGTGAGTGTAGGTCATGTGAGGGTTAAATAACCTTCACATAATCCACACTTACAGGTTTCACATGATGTGATGCCCGAACCCTTAGTGGAAATTGCATATACATCTTTGCACTCATGGCCATAATAGGTTATTCGTAACTGGTGAAGTATGGCTGAATAAATGGGTCTAATTAAATATGTTTTATGTTCAAACACACAAAACATACAAAATTGACCAAGCAGTAGAGTACATTCCAACTGAGAAGGGAAAGAGTCCCAGTACTTTCTTTTGGATTGTGCAAAAATGTTAAGTTGATTACATGCCAGAGTTTTGATTTGCATTTTTATGTACCATAGATTGAAAACACAAATAAAATGACAACCATTTTGAAACCAGGGAGCTTTGCATACATAACTGATTAGCATTGCAAGTTTCTTTAAAGCATTGGTAGATGCTAAAGAAGGGGAAATGGCAGTCATCCATCCATGTTCACACACCTTTGTTGTGTTCTTGTGTTTTCACTAGCTTCTGTAATCTCCACTGCAGCTGGTATAATCACTGCTACAGATGTGGTAGATGTATTCCAGCCAACATTAAACATTTTTACTTATTTACAGATTTATTATATTTGTATACCATCTAATAGCTACAGCCAAAGTCCCATGAATTTCAGTATGGGAGAAGAAATTCTTAAATTTTAAATACTTAAATCTAATTGTAATCAAAGGGCTTTAAAGTTTAACCTTGTCTGCACCCAATTGTCCTGCATCTCATTTTAATCTTTAAAGAAGTGCGTTCTCTCTTGTTATGGTTCATCTTTCTGTATTGGGCTTCTCCAATTTGACTGCCTTCCAGATGTTTTAGATTAGAATTTCCAGCATTTGCAATCATTGGCCATGCTGTCTAGGGGCTAAAGTACAGAATATGTGGTGGGTACTAGGTTGTGGAAGGCTGCTCTATTGGAATCACAGGCAAGTGCAGCTAACATTATACTTTTATGCAGTTGTGTTGCATCACACTTTTTGTAAAACAAATTTCTTAGCCCCTTTCCCTTATCTTTTCCCCCCCTTTCACTTAATTAAATCCACCTTCTAACTATTATTATAGACTTGAGTTTTTACATTGGCAATTCATCCTATAGGTGCCTTTCCAAAGGGAAAATCAGCAATTCTCGTTGGACAAAGCTTTGGCTTTGTTCTTGAATCACGTGTGAAAAGAGCTAACACACCTACCTTTGACAGTGAGCTCTTCAATCATGAAAGGCATCAGTTGGATTCGCATCTAAGCATTGACCAGATTGATACTTGCCTGGTTTCATCAAGGCATATGTGGCTCTGCCGAGTGCCTTAATAGCCACATGTCAGTGCAAAGGATCTCACTATCAAGAAATACCACACCAAACTGTAAAATGGAGTGACATCAAAGAAAGCAGGGTTGGTAACTCTGAGATGTCTGTGGGTCACTTCCACCCAGCTCTGCCCAGTGAGTTGCATCTCTTGTTATGTGCCATCAAGTCATCTCCAACTTACCATGACCCTGTGAATGAAAGCCCTCCAAAATATTCTACCCCTGACATTCCTGTTTAGCTAAATGGAAGACGGTGGTCCTTATTTTCTTCTTCTGCCTTTGATTTTTCCTAGCATGATTTTCTTCTGCAGGGAGCCTTGCACAAAGTATGGCAGCATTAGTTTCGTTATTTTTGCTTTTAAGGAAAATTTTGCTTGACTTGACCTAGGACCCACTTGTTCACCTTCTGTCAGTCCAGGGTATTTGCAAAGCTCTCTTCCAGCACCATGTTTCAAACAGTTTGGGCAACCCAGTTTTTAAAAATTAAGGAATAAAGCTGGTGTTCATAGCAAGCAGGCTAAATTTGACCGTTTTGGTGCTATGTAGAACTATGGGTGCCATTTCTCCTACTTAAAAATTTTTTGAAGGTGGGGAGCAGCAGAGTGAGAGCAGGTGCTGTTCATGTCTAATGTGTTGCCAACCCCTGAAATGTGGACAAAAGATTAATGTGATTCAGCAAAACTTTACACATTTCAAGTCAGATTGATTTCATGTTAAGCACCTACTTAAGTCTTTCCCATTGACATGATTAGTGTTGGCCAGACTTTGCAAAAAATAATTAAAAATGCAGGAGGAATGAACAAGAAATTCTTACTTGGTTTTAGCAAAAGAAGCTCAGTTTCACTGGCCTGTATCAGCCAAGAATCAGAGAGATTAAAGAGTGGAACCCTTATTAGTAAACTATGGATTCCAAGGAGAATTACCTTTTGTAAGATATTGTATGTATCCTGACACATGGTTTAATGTATTATGGGACTGATTAACTGAACAAAAGCTGCAGCAGCATTTACCAAGACAGGGTTCATGATAATGTCTAAGTCTTATTTAAACATGGTTAAATGTTTATCATTGTGGACTACAAATCATCCTTTGGAATATATGTAATCTAAAGGTTCAAATGAATATTTGAACAGGTTGCAATGATGGATGTTTACAAAAGAATGAGCTTTGTGTAATAGTTTGTGTGGAGTGCAGTAACTGACTTTGTAAAATGATGAGTTCACATCAAGTGCTTGAACTTTTGCTTTGTATCATCTTGAGTAGCATAAAATTAATTCTAATGAAACAATACATTTCTAGATATCACTTTAAAGACTTAATATGGCCACATGTTGCTTTCTGTTCTGTAGGAGAGATGGCAGACTGCAACATATATTCTCATATTATCATTACATGATACTAATCATACATTAGATTGCTATATAAATATGCTTAGGATTGCTGCCATTATTACATTATGTTACATTAACAAAACAATTCTATGGAATAGAAGAAGGAGAATCCAAGGTGAAGGAAGTCCTGGAGCAGGGGAACAGGATGTCTGGGTGGCTTTAGGTCCTTGCATTTATAGCAGACTACTTTACAGAAACATACACTGACTAACCATGATGCTAACCAAGAACAAGTTCAACAGGAATTCCAATTTAAATCTACTTTGACACATTACCTCTACATTCATTCCTCTACCATTCTGTTTGGCAGTTCATGACCCTCACCCTCCAAAATACTGAAAACTTGACAAGTGATTAAAACATCCATCAAATTGCATTAAATGAAGTTGCCTCTTTGCATGAATGGCCCTTTAGCAGGCAACAAACCAAAATATAATGTTGGTTTCATGAATGTACAGTTTGTCCATGTGATACTGATGGTAGAGTGAGATTTTACATACCTGGTGATGATCAGGAAAAAACTAGTACAGAGAATAATTTGGCTGAGATTCATCAATTCAAGATAGTTTAATAGCTTCCGTATAGCCTGAATTGCCCAATCTTGGAAGCTAAACATGGTTGAACCTAGTTGAAATCTGGATGGGTGACTTAAAATGTTGTGAACTACCCAGAGAGCTTCAGCTACAGGTGGTATAGAAAAGTAATACTACTACTATAAACCAGGCACCAAAGATAGAAAGGTGAATTTCCCTTTCACTCAGAACCAATCTTCTGTTTGACCTGCAAATGTGTTAGAACTTGCTAGAAAAGTAAGCACGATGAAGTAATATAAAAAAAATAGTCTGTGCTGAATGACATTTGAGGGAAATAGTGAAGCTGCAGCCAGTGTCTGGTACCCAGGATCTTCAGAGGTGCTACCATAAAGCAGATTGTTCCGCAAACAAATGTAAGTGCAAGGATATGGATGTCCTGTCTAACTGATGAAACAAGTAGTGACAACTCAGGATGAAGAAGTAAATTACTTATTAAACGTACACAATGGCTGATTATGAACATTGGCCTCTCACATCTCCTGAGTATATACTTCATATATTCCAGGGCTGAGGAATGCCAAATTCAAAACCAGTGCTATGCACACGGAGGGCATAATAGACGGTTGATTAAATCTGTTCTACTAAAACCTTGAGTAGAGCTACTCAACCCACTGTCTTAATTCAGTTAGCATTTATATCACACTTTGGTGCAGTGATCAGTGATTCAGGTACATAATCTTAATAATCATTACAACAACTAGCTGAAACATATTGCTCACCTAATCTCATTCAATGATCTCACTGAGGTGGAATTTTAGCATGGACATCATAGTTTCTTTTCTTAACAACAGAAACTCCCTGCTTGTTTTGTGCTTCCTGAATTCCTGAAAGCCAGTGCAGCTAATTCCAGACTTTCACTGTAATACCAGTATGCATATTGGCATACGTGATATGATTATATCATGTCAGTCTAGCAGCTTTTTGCCTTTCAGTCTAGCAACTTTTGTTTTTCCTGTTAATTAAACAAGCATACACTGTCTATATATACAGTAAGTATCCAACACACCTATTCTCATTGATTGCATATATTCATAACTAAGCAGTCATTTCCATTTTCATATATACATACTCTTAATGACTGCAATGAGATCTGATCATAGTAAAATCTGACATGCACTGATAGCTCAACGTCGTTACTGAACTCCAATTGCACTTGAATTGGAGCACAATTTTTACAATTATCTTTCTGCTCCTTTTGGCTCCTTGATTTTCTATACCAATCCTAACTTTACTGCCAACTTTGGTTCATGAAAAGTTGACCCTTGAGGCATAACTGTTTGAAAAATTGTGTTGAAATGCTACAAGATACAATGGATTTTGCCCAATATGGTATCAGTTTCTTGAAGAGGCTCTTAATAAAAATTGCATTTTTACTAAGTGATTGGTCACATGAATCATGTACTTTTCGTGTATTGTTCATGAATCAAACTGAGAGCCATTAAAAAATGACTAGGCATTAGGGAAACCTAATAGCTTTTTAACAGATTATTTAAATGACTGGAGCTATGATTTCCAATCATTTTTATCCAAACAGCAGAGCTGCAGAAAGCTGTGGTGGAATTCTCTTTGAAAAGAAAGTAACTTCTTGATTAAACTCCTTTGTTGCTGGTTTTAAAGTTCTATAGGGGAAAAATGGAATTTCTCAGTTATATATTCATATTTTGGCACCTGGAGCTTAATAGTGTAATAGTTTGACCAAACCCAGATGAAAGAAATGGTGGCTTGAGGGATTCATTCTACTCTGTAAATCATAGGCAGTAAAGCAGAAAAGTACATTCTGAACCAGCAGTTAATACAGATTGGCCATTTGAGAAACAAGTTCTAAGATGTCTCTGGCCTAACAATCTGGTATGTTGCCATGCATTTTGAGAGTGGGTTGACAACATTCCTGCAACATATGTAGCTTTAATGGGAATTCCTTCATGCAGATCAGTACTTTTCTTCTAACACTGTGATTTATAGTATGTCAGTACTGCAAATACAGATGTTACATTTTGCAATATTAGTTACAGTCACGGCCAGCATCTTGTATGTTTGTTGTTGTTAAGTGCCATCAAGTCATCTTTAATTTATGGTGACCCTATGAATGAATGCCCTCCGGAATATCCTCTCCTTGATAGCCCTGCTCTGGTAAACTCAAGGCTGTGACTTCCTTTATGGAGTCAATCTCCTTTTCTTCTGCCTTTTGACTTTCCTAGCATAACTGTCTTCTCCAGTGAGTGTTGCCTTCTCATGACGTACCTAAAATACAACAGTTTCAGTTTTGTCATTTTTGCTTCCAGGGCAAGTTATGCTTGGTTTGATCTAGGACCTACAACTTCCTCTTTCTGTCATTCCATGGTGCTTCCAACACTCTCCTTCAGCACCATATTTTGAACACATCAGTTTCTTTCAGCTTTATTCACTCTTCAGCTTTCACATGGTGATTAAAAATACAATAGTGTGGATGAACTTGCTTAGTATTAATGACATTCCTCTTTTGCTCATGACTACCTGAACATTACTCCATTAATGTTCACTTTATCTTAGAGGAAAGGTTGATGGATTGCAGAGTGATCCTTTACATTATTACATGGAAACAAGCTTTACTGTCTTCACTGTGCTTACTCTATAAAGATGTGCATAGGATTGCAACCAATATTTCACCATTACAGAGAAATGTGCACTTTCCAAGGGCAGTTACGTGTTGAGGGAAGTGTGACATTATGTGATCTGATAATCAGATCAGAGCTGAAAGGATCCATAACTTGGCCATCTTATCCAAACAATCTCAATCTCAATTTACTTGTAGATCCTACCAACTAAGTCGTCTGTTGTCTTGGTTATTGGACAGGTGCTGCATCGAAGAAGCTTTGGCTGGCAGAACTAGCACAGATGCTATGAGAAAAGCAATGCATACCTAGGATAAAGGGCAGCATCTCCCATATCTGGGGTTTTTGGTACAGCACCAGGCCTGACTTATTCAGTGGAGATGTGGGGAGTCTTGGTCTATAGAGAATTTGTTTTCCTGATTAGGTACCCAGGCCAGGGGTCAGTCTACTTTGAATGTCCTCACCTGGTATTGAAATTTTAAGATAAGTCTTTTTTTTGGTGGGTGGGTATACCAACTATGCTGCCTATCAGTCTCCCGGCATTTGCTGGAAGAGGAGGCCTTGAGTGTGCTACCAAGAAGTCCAAGGCTAGCAAGGCTTTCTTGAAGGAAGCAGGCTAGGTATTATGGCTTTCAGGTCAATGATAGGCCTGTTTCAGTTAATATGTGATCCAACACTTGTGGCAGGACATTTGGTTTTCTGTACTGGACTAGGGGATGCAGGTCTGTGCACTGGGGAATAAGTAAGGTCCCCACTGGATTGGACAAATGATAACTGAATAGATGGTGTGCCCCAGGGAGCTTTGAATTCAGATGGCTTTCTGAGTTCTCTTGGCAATTTTCCTACAGATTTGGTGAGAGGTTCTGCTGATATTTGAAATGAGGGGATGACCTGGGCTATCCAAATGATGCTTTGAAATATCCCTAACCCAGTTACAGAGCACTCTGGGCTCCCTGGTGGGTTAGGGAACTGAGGGTAAAGGAATGACTAGAGTGGAAATGATGAAAGACTTATAACGAGTACAGTTAAGAATTCATCTTCAAACTTATTCCAGGGTAATGATGCGATCTTCTCTGCCACCATTGCTTCTGCTCAATGTTTTCCAGTAGGGCTCTTTTGGGTGGTGAAATGTGCAGGTTCTGAGGAGCAATAGCTTGAGCCCTCCAAAGTCCTCTGTGGTTAAGTTGCTAGCCATTTTGCAAATGGAGTAACTTATATCTGTGTCGACTTAGATATCATTGTTTTAATAGAAGCAGAGATGGATGTGTCCTGGCATATTATTTTTGATATATTTCAGAATGCAGTCTAAGGATGTGGACAAACTTCTTGGAAAAACGAGCACCACACATTTCTCTTAGATGCTTCTACATCCTGACTTGTGAAAACAGTTAGGGCTTGATGGGTAAGTAATTAATTTGTGCTCCATGAGAGGAGTGGACCCTGCTTGCCAAATGAAAGCCAGTGTGGAGAAGTGGTTAAGAGTGTGGGACTGAGATTCAGGTGATCTGGGTTCTAGTCCCCATTAAGCCATGAAGCCAACTGGGTGACTTTGGGCCAGTCACAGACTCTCAGCCCAACCTACTTCACAGGGTTGTTTTGGGGATAATAGTGAGAGCAGGAGGAGGAGAATGGTGTAAGCTGCTTTGAGATCTTAAAAAAGGAAAGGAAAGGAAAGGATGGGGTATGAATCAATCACTCAGTCAAATAGACAAACCAAGAAAAGAAGTGTTGAGGCCACTACAAAGAAAATAAGGTCTGATGGTTTCTAAAAATTACTCCCCAGAGTTAAATTTGTCATTTTTGTGCAAGAAGTTGCGGCATGTAGTGGTTTCTCAACTTCAGGTAGAGTTGGATGATGCTGATCATTTGGCTCTATTCCAATCTGGGTTCAGGCTTTGTTTAGGGATAGAAACAGCCTTGGTCACTGTAGAAATTTAGTTATGCTAATTAATGCATTGGGTGTGCAGCTCTGTTAGTTCTCCTGGACCTCTTAATTGCTTTAGATCCCATCAATTGTAGTATTCTTCACAATTGTTTATCTGGATTGGATGCGGGGGCATGGTGTTATGGTGCCTCTGATCATTCCTGGATAATTAGTCACAGAAAGTGGTGCTTGGGGACTTCCGCTTCACACCCTATCTTATCTCCTTTTTTTCATCTACATGAAATTGCTGTGGGAAATCATTCAGATGTTTGGGCTGTGCCATTGGTATGCCAGTGAGCCTTAGCTCTTGCTTCCATCTCATGGTCCTACAGAGGCTGCACAACTGCAGAGTCCAAACGCAGTGGATACTGTGGTGTCAGCAGGGCTGTGATTCTGTGAAATCTGTGAAAATTCCAGATTTCATGCCAGCCTTTTAGGGAGTTATCCATGGTGTCCCTGCACCCAAAATAGGTCTGCTAACTTAGATAACTCTGTAACAGTAAAATTTGGAGTGAATACACAGCCCCACTGAAATTGAGGCCACCAGCCTCTGCTTCCAGTATCTGGAGACAGTTGTGAGATGGAAAATAAGGAAAATAAGATGAGACTTAATCCAAACAAAAAAGTACTGTGGGTAGAGAATCTGACGAAGCTGGACAGAGGAGAACATCTGGTGTTAGATGTGGTTGTACTCTCCCTAGGGAACCACATGTGGAGTTTGGGAGTGCTCCAGAAGCAACAGTGGCCAGGATACTGGTATGCCAGCTGCAACCATATCTGGAGAGGTTTGATCTTGCCTGAAGTTAGTCATGTTCTGGTGATGTCCAGGCTGGACTACTGTTATGTATATCTGCCTTTAAAGATAGTTCAGAGACTTCAGCTGGTTTTTAAACTGCTGATTTTAACCTTTCAAGCTGTTTGAGCCCAAGTTAATTGAAGGACTGCCATCAACTGTACCAGCCTGTCCACATTGTGAGGTCCTCAGCTGAAGCACTATTCATTAGCCTGTCATCAAGGGTGGTCAAGTTAATGTGTACAAGAAGGAGGGGCCTTTGGGGAGTGGTCTCAATCTTATCAAGGGTTTTCCAAGCTCTTTCTGTATAGCAGTGCTGAAAACCCTCTTGCTCTCACTAGTCTTTTCTTAATTTTGGGGGCCATTGGAATTATTTGCAATACCCATTTTAATAGATTATACTGTTTGTATTTTATACTAATTGTTATATCTTTAATGATATAGGCATCTTACAAAGGTTCCACCATTAAAATAATTTTAAGAGGGCCAAAGGCTCAAGAAATATTTTTAAACACACTCATGGAAGAGAATACCTTTTTGAAACATGCTCTTCTTACTTTTTACTTCAGTGCATGGTGCTTGTTAAAATATGGAAGGACTATGTAGCTGTTGCATCAGCAAGTGGAGCCCTTCATGTTATGGGAAGTCCTTTTCCTCTTGTGCAAGGCAGTTTCTGTATCCTGTCCCTTGAAGTGCAACTAGAGTGTGAGAAAGCTGGTATAACATGCACTGGACTCTTGGATTATACAGTAGTTTTCATATAATTATTTCCAAGATTCATATCACTCATTGTAATGTAGTAAAACTTTCCAAGCACAGACTGAAGATTTCAGTTGTACACAAAACATATATTTTAAGAAGGTTACAAATCAGCACATTGTATTTTGTGGCAAAATCATAAAATATGCTAACATGATAGAATCTAATGAGGGAAATGTTCCATGCAGATGTCTGCTTGCTTATTATCCTATAAAATGATTGTATATTTTTGTTTTTATGAGCAATTCCAGGCATGAAGATTTAACCAAAAACATTCATTTTGTCAAAAGTATAAACACAATATGAGTGCACTATACAAGGCACTCTTTAAAAATCTGATTTTTAATGCTTGAATAGTAGTTTTAACGTAAATGGTGATGAGTACTTCTTTTTAGTTGCTCTTGCATCTGACAAGGCAAGTGATAGTCTGTGATCAGTACTGCATCTCCTTACATGATGCAAAAGAACAAGATTTTACTTGCCTTTGATTTGTATGTTTTTTCTGGCCACGTTGGCCAACCATTTTATTTTATTGTGATATGCTGAGAGCCAACTCACATATTCTTAAGTAAATACAAAGGGCATAGGAAATGAGGGAGGTATAATTTTTGTTGTTGCTCTTGTCATTGAGATTTTCATGGTGTCTGTGCACATTGGGCACCATTTCATTTTTATTGCGCTGCACTGATAGGAGTGTCACATACCATTAAGTTAATACCAAGTAAGTGAAAAAGAAGTAAAAAAGCAAAATCGATTTTTCTCCCTTCTACTAGTTTGGTTGTTGGACATTTGTGGGCTTTATATATGCAACTGTTATGGGGAGGAAAACTCAGCACTGCAATATATGACATAAATAGTTTGTGTTGGTTTATTTTGGTCCATAAGGAAGCTCTCTTGCAATACTTAAACAAGTACTTGGTATCTTTGGGGTGGAATAATGGCAGAGCTTATGAAGGATTGGTATATTTGAGATATATTATTTAGGTCAAGCAAAATTTTCCAATCAGTTTGAAATAGCTCAATGGTTATGTACGTCTGTCACAGAACCTATTCTCATTATATCTGCTGTGAAATGTGGGGACAGTGATAGGTTCCCTTTTTGCAGAGAATGGTTAATTCTCCTAAGGATGCATAGATTCCCTAGGAACATTTCCCCACCCAAGTGCAATCTGGATGCTATTAAGGATGTGTGCTGTGGTAGCTGATGCTCATTAAGGCTGGTAGGGTGGAGGGAAGGGAAGATAATGGTAGGAAGAGGCAAGGGGTCAGTGTAACCAGATACAAGTAGATCCAGTTTTCTCCACATTCTCCTCCTTTGCAAAGGAGGACTCTTAAGCAATGCTTTATAATCGTATAGATCTAACAAAACTGAACCATAGTGTCTTACCTTTGTTCAGGAGGATTGGGTGCTATCACATGTTGAGAGAAAAGGCCTGAGGCTTCCATCACCCTTTATCATCACCTCAGTCAGGAATACGATCCCTTCAACAAAAGGTTTGTCCCCAGAACTTTCAGAAGCATAGCTTTTCCTTTTCTTTGAAACCAAGTTGCCAGTAAAATTTAGCTCTGAAAAGGTGAGCAGTTAATGTTCGGAGCAATGCAAAGGGTTGCAGAGGCTGGGGAGAAGTGCACACACATCACACTAAGCATTTTTTGTGGAGGCAAACTCAAACCTAACTTCAGGATCATCAGAACTGCACAGTGAACAGCTGGAATGGCAGATAGCAAGACACAAAAGCAGACCTTTGAACCAACATTTCTCTGCTCCAGCAGCAGCCTCCGTTGCACAGAAAAACTGTAATGTGATCACAGACAACTCCGCTATAAAGCTCATTCACTTACCTCTCACCTTGGAGGCAACCACCCACACTCCTCAAGCTTCCGCCCATTTCTCTCCTTTCCACTCCAAAAGGGAGACAGACAAAAGAATGAATGTGGGTGAACTTCTGTGTATTGACACTGCCCTTCATTTCTTCCTGCTTCCCATTCGCACACCTTCCCATCCATTCAGGGCAGGAATGCATGCGTGACTGTTTTACTGGTTTTAGGAATATGTGTCCAGGCAGGGTTGTTTGCATTATGACACTCTTAAGGCAAAAAAAGGGACTGTCTATGTTTTAAGGACATGAAGAACATCATAAAACTTTTCATTTCTGCACACAGCTTGTCTAAGGCATCCCCTGGCTCTGGAGGTCCTTGCAGTGGCCACAATTAATGGATAGTCCAATGCTGCTTGGTTTTCCCCTTGCCCTTGCCGTGATGTCACTGCAACTGGAAAGCAGCCATAAGATCTCTGTGTGGTTAGTGCAGGTGCAGGGTTTTCAAAAGGATTGGCTAGACAGGGGTAGGCATTTTTTTTTTTTTTTTTTTTTTTTGGGTTGGGGGGGGTTTGGGGTGTTAAAAAAATTGTGGGGGTGGGGGGTTGGTTTTTTTTTTTTTTTTTTTTTTTTTTGGCTACGGGCAGGTTTGGCAGGTTGACAAAATGATGGAAGTCATAGGTGCTATCTTTTTTATTAAAAATAACTTTTTAAACAAGAGATTAAGTAGTATTCAAAGCCTTATTTCTTATTAGCAAATTCAGAGGAGGGGGAATGTGATATATTAGTTAATTTAGCTGGCATTCATGATTTTTATAAATGTTGTTACATCAGCCCTTCACAACCTGGTACCCTCCATATATTTAGAATTCTTGACAGTTGACAGGAGTTGATCGGAATTGAAATTTAAAACATCTGCAAGGTACCAGGTTGGGGAAGGTTGCATTACATGCTTGTGAAATACTGATCTTTGTACTCATTGTCATAGCTGCTGGTGTGCAGTAACAAAACTTTGGTTTTTGAAGTGTTATGTAACAAAGGAAGCAGTTAATCCACTTTAAGTTTGAAGTCATTTCACAGACTTCACCGTTTACTTGTGGGTTTTCTCATGAAATGAGGTTCTTTCTGAAATAAACAAGAAAATCCACATGTTTGCTATTTTTAGAAGCACCAGTTGTTCTGTTGAACTCAATTAGAATTGACGCTGACCGCTTGCTTTCTTCCATCCTTCCTTAGGGAAGAGTTTTTCAGAGAAAGATAGTTGGAATGGGCAGAATTTTTTTTTTTACACATCTCAATCTAGCATATATTGACTGAAAAAAAAATCAGCTAAAGAAAACCTTTTTTTTAAACATAGAGCATGAAATGAGAATGACAAGCTGGGTCAGACCAAACACACATCTAGTCTACTGTGATAGTAGCCAGCCAGGTACTTCCAGAGTATCCATAGACAGGGTAGGAGGCAGTCGTGACTGATGTCCATTGGGACAGGTGGGGCAGAGGGCAGGCGGTAATCAGGCCAGAGACAATGGTAGGAACAGCTAGTGATGGCTTTGTTCCGGTCCTCTTCCCTTGTGATGATACCATCAACACTGAAGTGCTTGCACTCCTGAAATAACAGCAGTCCCAACATGCAGGTTTATAGGCCCTCCTCACACATGCGCAGTACTTCTTAATTAGCATTTTTTTCAAAGTAGGTATATCCTCCAAACCAACATAAAGTCACAGAAGGACAAAAGTATAAATAATGGATCCTACACTTCCCAGCACCACTGCAGTGCAAAAACATGGGCCCAAAATATGGATGCTCATTGTGGATATTCTGATATTCTGCATGGGATAGCTCCCAAACTGCTTGAAAATCAACGCAAGTCACCAAACCCATGTTCCATTGGCATTTCCTCCCTGGCTGCTTGATTCTGTTAAATAATAAGGGGCCATGCATGAGCTCCAGGAAGCCACTCAAGAGTTAGGGTTAGGAGTCGGGTATAGCAGGTAATAGGCCCAGCAATAAGTCAGTCTTCTCTAAAACAGAGAAGGACACCACCTCTTCTTGAAAGACTATATGGGGTGTGTGCTGATGCTCCAGAAGCTTTGCAAGTATGATTGCACCAAGCACTCCTTTCACTCATGACACAAACATTTTTTTAAAACCTTTGGTGGTTTGTCATGTCATCATCTCAATGCCATCATGGTATTTCATTTGGTTTTTAGAAACCATGAACAGAAACAGTGGTCTATTCTATGATTTCTTATGTGTTGCCCAAACCTGGAAAACAATTAATTGTAGTACTAAGGCCAGAACCACAGAGTCACATGGCTAGAGCAGCCTGTTGCCACTCTTGCCAAGTGGCTAGCCAGAAAGTGCCAATGTCAGCTGCCATGTTGTGCAAACTGTCAAAAGTACCCTTGCTCTGCCTGATTCCTTCCCTATAGTTTTGGGGCAAAAGTGGTGATCAGCTGTCAGTGCTGACAAAGGACTCACTGCTCAGTTGATTCCTCTCTTGCCCCTCATGCTTGCCAGAGGGAAGACCCTCTCGTGTGAGAGTGGGAGGGGAAAGAATTAGTTGGGGAGCAGTGTCTAGTTAGGGCTGCATGACCTATTGGATTCCCCATCTGCCACCTCTTTTGCACATGAGCTGGATGTGCAGGATGGCAGCAATGGGGGGAAGTGGCACTGCTCCTGCCTTTCTTGCTCCAGCTTGTCAGAGAACTGGAGCAAGAATGAGGAGTGGTGGGGGCGGAATACCCTTAGTGGCGCAGCCTTCAACCAGGCTTGGCCACCCGGTTGATTCCCACCCTCCTGCTCATGCATGAGAGGGATGACAGAGGGAGTCCACTGAGGCATGTAGCCCATGCTCAGGTGCCTCTGTCCAGCTGATTCCTTCCCCTCTCGATTGCTAAAGAGGCAATGGGGCTTATCCTCTGAGTCATGCTGCTTCTTTCCCTAGTGCCATCCAGCTGATTTCCCTTCTTCGTGCCTCAGTGTGGATCAGCCCCCCCCCCCCCCAACTCCAGTGGAGTCTTCTAGAGCAGGAGGCAAGGGTGACTAATGTACAACAGAAACTGCCTGACAGTTGTGAACCAAACTTGGCTCATGAGTGTAGCTGTCAAAGAGAGGAACCTCATTTCTCCATGTGGTGCCTTGTGGGATACTATCTGGAGTACTGAGAGGGAAGGAGATGGAGGGTGACAGTTACCATGATGGGCCTGGTCATCCATCCAGACACATTGAGGTAAAAAACTGTGAAATGTAACCTGGCAGGGTTGCTGGTCATGACTTGTGAATGCAGCTCCCTCACCATGTGTGTTTGTTGAGACAGAATCACAGCAAAGAACACAACACATTTCTCACAGAAGTGGGGAAGGGAATCCCATTTAGAAATGCATCAAATGTTAAAGGATTATTTTGCACTGTGCACTGTGAACAAGCTTTGAGGTGTATATTTTCACATATTTTCCTTAGTAAAGTATAATCCACTCCATCAAGGATAAAGCACATAGAGTTTTTGTGACTTTGGTGCTATCAAATGATCACAATTAAAAAAAATCTTACCATAAAACTATTTCTTAGTCATAGCAACTCCCTAATGTGCATACCCACCCTTCTGAAATATTGTAAGTTACTTAGCAGTTTCTCTTCAATGTATGCATACAAATTACTTACAAAACCACAGTGTGGTAAATAAATCCACTTTAGTCCTGTCAATAAACTTTGAATAATCTGGGACAAAGATGCCTGAATGCAGCCTGAAGTTTTGCACAGTGTTTTCCTTAGGGGCAGCTTTATTTGGTATGTCATTTTATGCAATTTGCCACTCCAAACTGCACAGAATAAATGGATACCATTTACAAACTCCAAACTGAAAATGTTCTTGCATCAGGTAAAGACAGGGAGTACTTTTGTGCTTTTCAAGCTTCCTTCTGAAATTTTGGACTTTTGGTGCATCCCCCACCCCCAGCCTTTCAATTTCACTTGTTTTTTCCCTCTTCCAAACACAGCAAATTTCCCAAGCTCATGGGATTGGTTACTTGCTTGTGATTTCTTCTGGAAGCCTGCCCATTTGAGCTGAGCTCTTTCTCTCGCCTTTGATGGAAGAATGAGTTGCAGCACACAAACGGAGCAACAGATTTCACTGAGGGTATCATTCAGTAACACCCCACACACAAACAATTGGCCCTAATTGGCGTAGAAGAACCAATCACAGCAAAGCTGGGGAATAAAGCAGAGTGTAACTCCAAGATGTCCTCCCTGAAGGCACATTTTGCATTAGATTATGAGGACTGATTGCTTGTTGAGGGTGTGAGGGTGGGAGAGAGAGAGTGGGAGAAAACGGGGGTTTTCTTTGGAAATGACATGCACAGAAGGGGAGAACCACAGGAATCAGAACAGACTTCCAAGCGAGAACAAACAAGTGAACAAGACATGACTAGCTGCATAGGGTGCAGAGAGGGAGATGAGGCAAGGCCAGTGCCCCTTGCCCCAATAGTAAATTTCCCCTGGTGCTAAGGCAACAGTTCTCTCGTTATTATGTGGGAGCAAATTGGGAAGGGAATGGTGTGTCATGTGGGAGGAAAGGGAAACAGTTGCTGTGAGGGTTTACACATGTCTGGTTCACCATTTTCTGGAAAGCTGTGGCAAGATAGCAGTGGGCCTCATGAACATGTATTTTGAGCAGGAATAAGGTAGCTTCCCATGTTCCTGTGACTGGTGTAAGACATGTGCCCTTTGGCCTGAGGTAGTGGCAACGCTGTTGCTGTCAGTGGTGACTGGTGTAGTTTTGCACTAGACTTGAATGTTCATTAGCTGAAAAAAGCCCACAGGACTGCTGGTAAGAGGCCTGACGAGGCAGCAGCTCCCCAGTAAAGCTGACACAACAGGGCTGTGGAACCTTTTTAGCCTAAGGGCCAAACTACATTTGGGAGCTTGGATTTCAGTGGTGGGCAGGGAAAATATTGGGCTTACAGCTCTTACTGCCAGTAATTAAACCTGAGGAGAAGCATTTCAACCTTTTGGCATGAGGGACAAACTGCACAAAATGTAGGAGAACACCAAATAGTCTGTGTTGGGAGAAAGGGAACTTGGCCACCTGCAGAACATTGATGGACTGATGTTATGTATGCCACAGATGAAACTGTGGGGTACACATTCATTTTTTGTGACTCACCAGTCTCTGTGTCTCTTGTCCTGGTTACGTTTAAGGTGTTCAGCAAGCTGCACCCTAGAAAAAGGAAAAGATGTGTCCGGATGTGCAACACCACAGATGGATGAACATTTTGATGAGCCTTTCTCCTCATGGGGAGTCGTTCCGATGCCGAGAAACACACTCATGTGATTTGCCTACCATGCTTTAGTATTTGAAAAGCATTAAACAAATGTTTTTAATATCTTAAAGAGTGTGCACATATACATGTCATTTCTAGAGCAGGGCTGGAAGACCTTTTTCCTATCAAGGCCCATATTAACTTGGTTGAAACCTGTTCAGCTTCTGGCAGTGAACAGAGTCCAGAGTCAAAAGTGGATATAGATACAGATTTGACCTTTTATCATTATTCAGTACAAGACCCATACACTTTTTGTCTTCCCGGAAATCTTTGTAATTGTATGAGCAAGATGGAAAAAACCAAGATAGAATAAATCAAATCAATATTGAGGCCAGAGAGGGGGTGTGACCTGAGAAAATGGTCACAGCCTGGAGAGGGATTCTTGTTTTGAGGAGAGTCTAGAAGTCCAGACTGAAATAGATGAAGATCCACATTTGGCCATTCTAGAGTGATAAATGGCCATGGAAAGAAATCATAAGGCTGATGTTGTGCGGCCTGTTATTTGCTTCTTAAGTATATCTTTTTCTGTCCTACCAAAGAGTCCTTGAGATATATTTACTATGGTACTCAATGACCTAGTGAATTGGCTTCATTACTGAAAATAGGTAATGCAATGCATACACATGAATCTCTATACATGTATTTGAATATTTGGCTCTGGTCCAGGGGCCTGGGTTTATTTGGTGTCTGGGTGTAAATTTGGGGTATAAGTCCAAGTATTTTTGGTTAATGCAATTATGAATTGGAGTGAGGAAACCAAGGGAAGTAACCAGTTGTGTCGTTAGCATACTTGGCACTGCAAGTGGAAACCAGTTTCCAAACTATATGCAGGAGGAAAATCCAACAAAAGTTGCATTTGTGCAACTGGTTGTGCGTGCTTATGTACAAGCATGTTACACAAGTACAGAAAAAAGTGGCTCTCTGCTAGTGCTATATGAGAAATGACACCATTGGATACAGCCTGAAATATTATAGAAAAGCATACATTTAAAGAGTGGAGAAACTGACACCAGTCTGGCATGTGTATGAGTCAATGGTCATCTGCAAACTGATTTTTGTACTCTTCCAGATAAATGCTTATAAATGAGTAATATTTCATTATTGCATTTTTATTTCAAATTCAATTTGTATTATATATATTCATGTATGATAAATCAATGAGAAGATCAAAACAGTAATATATACATTTTAGTTTCAACACATTTGCCATTTTAAAAGAAGAGATTTAAAGCCACCCAACATGCTTTGGGAGATTAGACCCAACAGCAGGAGATGAAGGCAATGTGCCATCCTGGCTTTTTGACCTTCCTTTGGGTTTCCTCTTCTATGTCTTTAAGTCAGACTGATATTACTTGTCCAGAGAGTTATCGTGTTTCATACAGCTTTCATTAATAATTTCATTAATTCCTTGTGAAATGCAGAGAAAAATCAGGCAATTGAATATGATGAACTAAAGAAATTATTTTTTGCTTGCTTTCTTCAGAACAGAAAAGGCAATTCATATTGGATTCCTTTTATCTTAGGTCGATAGCTTTTAATCATAAATTAATTAATATAGTTATATAAATTAATTCATGTAGTTGTACCACCTTCCCCCTCCTCTGAATTTGCTAATAAGAAATAAGGCTTTGAATACTACTTACTCTTTTGGTGTTTAAAAAGTTATTTTAATAAAAAAAGATAGCACCTATGACTTCCATCATTCTGTCACCCTGCTGCTAAAACTGATGCTGCTGAACTTTTCGTTGACGCAAACTCTTTGGGGTTAACCAGAGCACTACTTTGGAGGAAAATAACCATGCCTCATCACCAAGATCAGCCAGACCAACTTGCGGTCCTCCAGATATTTTGATCTATAACTCCTATTGCCTTAGCTAGCATAGCTGCTGCTGAGGGATCATGTAACCGAAGGTCAAAACATTTGATGGGTCACACATACTCTGCCCACCCCTGACCTAGAAGAAATTTGCAAGCTGATCTTTTTTTTTTTGGATAAATGTTCATCTGACCAGTGGCACAGACATAAGGGGGAAAAACTATTCATAGTAACTAAGTGGGTGGTATTTGGATGCATCAGCAGTATAGGGAGTGGAATCTTTAGTGATCCTTTCCTTCTAGCAGGCCCATAGAGCCACTAAATCTGTAATAAGCTTCAGGAAGGCAGGGGAACTAGTGAAATTGTGTCTCCTCATTCTGCTGATGGATGCATTCAATTAGTGGCAGGACACCACTGAATACCGCTTTCTATTTTGCAAGAAGAGCAAGGGTACATGTACTGTGGAAGAGAGATTCAAGAGCTCTGAACATATTTTTTTAAAGGTGGGTTAGGGAGATGTAGAGATCTTCAAGGCCAGTGGTGGGTGAGCCTTTTTTTAGGTCTCAGATATCCCTGGATGTTAACCCCTGTGTTTATGCTCCTCCTGCGGCAGGAAAATGGCAGTGGGTGATATTAAAGAAGATACCACAAATGAGTTATTGTGGGAAGAGCGACTGCTTTTCATTGGGAAGCTGTCATGGTGCTGGCAGTTACGAAGAGTATTTACTTTAGTCTCATTGCATATTATTGGAACGTCCTCATGAAGCTGCATTCTAAAGAGCTGTGTTTTTCTTTTCAAAGAAATACCTTATAGAAGTGACGAGACTTGACTTTATGTAGAATGTCCTTGCAAACCAGTTTATAATTGTATTTATTCTAAATGTGCATATTTTGTTCTTTGCTGATTTAAGGATGCCCGAAATGGCTTCTGCAGAGAGATGTTTATTACGAAACTGTTTGCAAAAGTCCTGAGCAGCATTCATTGAGCCTAGACAAACAGCAGAAAATATGGCCTGCCTTTGCAACTTCAGTGTATGACATGGAGAGCTGGCAGACTGCCTGGTTTCTACTTAAAGGATTGTCATTCAGGGGAAAATAAATTTCTCTAACTAGACAAAAGTCAATGTTTTCATGTTTTACTGCAATCAGACTGATATGGCTGATAATTTAAAGTCTCAGCACTTATAATATCTGAAGATAATCAGTTCCTTCAATCAATCATAACTACAAGATCCTTCTTTTTTGAGGCTGTATAAATATGACTAAGATGTTTAACAGTTCAGATATTTGTCCCCCACTAATATTTTATGACATTTTATTGAGCAATGGAATGCTTTGGCATATATTAATGGATCCATTTGGAAATGCCTTTTTACAAAATTACAACAAGTCTGCATGTAATCAGAGCTGCAAACCTTTCTTTTAACATTCCATTCTATTTTAATTTTATGTATATCTTCTAGTCTGTTCGCCTGTCAAGAAGATGAGGAAATGTGCTGGCATTCCAGCTGAAGACATCATTATGAGTGAGAAAATGCTCAAGGCCTTTTTTCAAAGTGGGTGCTGAAAGAGACACTTTCCTTCTTTGACTTCAGGGATGCTGATAGCTACCCCAACAGACAGGTATAGTGGGGTCAGAGGCTAGCAATGCTCTCTCTCACTTTCGCTGTGCATGTATGTTTACCCTCAGGATTGTATTGGAAGATGGTTAAGCCAAAAATAAAAAAAATAATAGTAACCATAAAGATGCATCTCACAAAAAGAAGACACTGACAACAAAGGACGATCAACCTGCTGTGACAGAATTCTGGGCAGCTCAGCGCTTGGCAGGAGTGATTTTAATATCTGACAGGTTGAGTTCCCTAATCTTCGCTATTGATATTGACGGGAAGCTTCATATGGTTTTTGAGATTTGTATCTATTAAGACATGCTACAGTGTTTCTACAACATGGGAACAAGTTTGCTGGAGATCACTGTTCTTCTTCTTCTGTGATAAAAATTGATATGAACTGTTTTAAACTGCCAGCAGATAATTACTCTGAACACTCAATAAGGAAAGCTATATCTTTAGAGCCTTCCTTTATCTTTAAAAAAATCCACTCCTCCCACCTCTCTTTTGTTTCTTTGATTACTTGGAGCCTTGTAATCAAACTAAGCTTAGTTTTGGGACCCTGGGGGCAGTATCTCTTAGTTCCCTGTCAAGCTGCGTTGCAAAACAATCTATCTTGCTCTTGAACTCTCTTGGCGGAAGTGCCACGACACGAAGAGTGCAATGCTTTGCTCTTGCCATGAAGCCTCAATGACAAAAGTTTTTATAAGAAGCTGACTGTATTTAGGGTTATGAATATGCAATGACTCTCATTAGTATTGAAGCATAGGAGCAGGGGCTGACATCCCCCCCGCCACTTTGAGCTGCTGCAGAATTGTCTAATGAATTGTCTTGCTCTTTCACTTGCTCGGGCTTTTTCTGTTGTGGCTCCCAGTTCCAAGGGGAGTTGCCCAGTTTGAGAATACTATTGACTGCAGAAATTAATTGCCAAGAACTGCTCTTGATTTTGTTAAACAATCTTGAGATGGGTTTTAAATTGTCAAAACAGAAAACCATTCAGCTCTACATGAGATAAGCTCAACATGAGGGAGGGGACCTATGAGTCCATTAATTTGGACACACACTTTGTCATACGTACACATGTACAGTGCTGGATTTTGCATGTGTGTGTATATGTTATTAAAACGCACATAGATTGACACACATGCATTTCCCCCCTCCCCCCAACAACAAAGGGTGAAATCAAGTCAGATTCTGTTAGATCAAGTCCTATCCTGCTGGTCTGGTGCTTTGTTTTCACGGTAGAACAAAGAAGGATCCCAAAATGAAAGCTTTTCACACTACAGAATGCTGTTTTCTGAAGTCTTTAGGACTTTTCATGTCGCTTTCTTCCCTTTTCAGTTGGGCCCCCACCCAACATTTTGCAGTTCACTCATACAGAATTGAATATGAATCAGATGTTGAAAATATTGCCGAAAACTTATTGAGAGTTTATGTGTTGTGGGAATCTGCATAACATACTCAGTTTACATGGCTCAGCTACAAAAATTAAATGGTTGCATACTTGATACAGTTTTTAAAAAGACAGAGGGAGTTTGGTGTTCCTTGCAGGCTAAGAAGATAGGAAAGACCTGCCTCTAGGTAGGTTTACAGATGTATAGACAGAATTAAGAATACAAATATTGCAGGAAGTTGTTTGCTTTGTATATGTCTTTATTTATTTATCTTATCTGCATCTCTCAAAGTAAGTTCCATTGAGTTCAGTGAGGGTGCATATAAGATTGTAGTCATAATCTATAATGAAAACAGTCAAGCTGGAAGGAGAAAGAGCTGTTAATCTTGTTCCATTTTAGGAGGCAGAACAAGATCTTCGCTTACCTCTTAACCCATCTCCTTCAGTGTCCAGATTCATATTGCCATCTTTTGTGAAATCTCCTCCCTCTCTCTCTCTCCCTCTCTCTCCCTCTCTCTCTCTCTCTCTCTCACACACACACACACACACACACAGAGCATAAGAATAAACACAGTTCTGACAAAAGTGGCACAAGTATCATACATCAAGCACTTGTTACCTCTTTTAGCCTTAGTGATTGCACATGACTAAGAACAAGTCAGTGATAAAAATCTGAAGAAAGATGAAACCAATCTGGGCCTTTTTAAAGACCATCAATCATTCTGTGCAACCCTGATATTATTAGCTCAAGTAAGCCTTGTTCTCCCATTTAATGGACATCATAACCCCTCCATCCTAGTCCTATCCTGAAACCAATACTACCATGGGAAATCATTTTATGGGCAATATCTTAGTAGGGAACCAATCAGATTTAATCACATAACAAGCTACTGAATTATTCAACATTTTCCCTAAATTTGCATTCTGGCTATTCTTTGCTGTCAGCCCCTACTTCTAAAAGCATGTGCATTAAAAACAAACAAGTCCTATAGTATTCTATGAAGCTTATGATGTATGAGGATTTTTCATAATGTATATGTCTTCTAATTATCATTGGTTTCCATTGATGTCTGCCACATGTGAATAACCAAGTCAGAATATTGGTTACTGATTTTTTAAAAATTACATTACACTAACTTATAACCACTCCCAGCTGTACAAACAGCAGGCCCAGTGACAGCAAAAGTGAAACAATTGTTTTTGGAAACATAAAATGTTCGAATGTACTGTGCAAATAATAACCGGCATGTCACACTGATGTTGCTATGAACCCTTGAATTGTATTATATGAAAATATTTCAGTTTTAATTGCAAATCTGGGTAGAGATGATTTGGGGTCTGTAATTAGCACATAAATTCCAGACTTTGTGACTGCTGTGAAAACACACAGTATTTATGGAACGATTATCTAAATATAATTCAGTGTTTCCTGCTTTCAGAGAATACTGTAAAATCTGATTTAATAAATAAAAGAGAAACATTGTTGGTTCATGGCTTTCCAATATTACACCATCAGCTTTTTTCACCTGCTACAGACTTCAGCCAGTGTTATTCGTTACTATTGTGCAGCTGTAGTTATGACTACAAGGTCTGGCTTTTGCTTTTGTTTTTCAAGCAGGGCAAGAAGTCAAAATTTATTTCCATAAAAGGAGAGTATTCAGTGATGTCATTCTGCAAACTCAAAGAGGGCTAGTAGAGGTCTTTCACTTATTTTATACTTGTGCAATTGGATGCACAGTTAGTCGGTCCAAATAAAATGCACTGCCGCTTGTAAATATAGTTGGCTTCTCTCACACATAGTTCAGAATCTGGCTTCCACTAGTACTATGCAATCTGCATTAGCATAATGACGCTGTTGAATCCTGTGTTAAAATTTTAGTTGTGATACTGTTTCCAGTAATAGTTATGTGCAAGGTCAAACCAGCAGTGCACGGGATACATATTTGTAATCTGTTCACCAATCACACCATATCAGAATTTAGATCATGACATTGACCCAGAAGTGATGGCTTGTTTCTTAGAGCTTGGTTGAATTATTGGGTGTTTATTAAAATTGTTGGGTTTTAATGTTTGGGTGATTTACCCATTTGGACAAATTAGGAAGAATAGGAAGATGTAAGGGCATATTTGAGAGCAAATAGCCTTCCCCATCATGAGTATAGATGGCATGGTGTGTCCTATTCCTTATGTGCACTTGTGTGGAATTTGTCTTTTTACTCTATACATTCGTCATGGTTTTTAAGAAACTGATTGTTTGAAACAATCATATTTGCTCCATAGAAGAATGCTATGAGCTTGCACCAAAGATATTTATAAAAGGCAGCTTTCAAACTCAGGAATGTATTGAAGTATTGTAGAACTAACAGACTGGGAGATTGGTTAAAGAATATATTCATTTTATTCACAGCCATGGGAAGGAGTCAAACTAAAGCCGTACTCTGATATCCTCTGATCTGGGAGTAAGTCCCACTGAATTTACGATTGTGCTGTTAATTGCCCTTAGCTCCCTTTGAAATCAGTGGGACAACTTAGTCATGGTTTGATTTAAATGGAAGATGCAACTAACATACACAAGGCCCAGCCTTATATTTTAACAACATGAATACTGGATTATCCCATGAGACAGCCTTTATTTTCTGTGAGAATTCACATGTGCACATGTGGACATATTCTCTTGCTTTCTTGTGCATCTATTCCTGCATATACATGGTTGTTGGGTTTATTCAACTTGGCAGAATCCATCAGATCAGCATCTTCATTTCTATATTGACCAATAGCCAAAGTTCTCTGGGTGGTTCAGAACAGGGAGCTTCAGCTCAGTGGCATCATTTAGTGGAATTAATATTCTTGTTTTCAACCATAGATCTGAAATGGTAGAAATCTAAATCAAATGGTTTGAAATCTAAATCATAGGTTTGAAATGAGATGTCAGAAGTGAGGGTGCAAGTGGAAAGAAAGGAAGGGAAAGTTCCATTTCATGAGCAAACATCTGATCTGGCGATGTTGGACAGAACTTATAAAGAAATAAATGTTTAGAATTTTAAAGAATTTTGAAGATATCAGAAATGTATGAAGGGAGGTGACATCTGTGAATTAGGGAAGTTCAATTTTTTAAGCAAGTAGAATCAGAGTTGTCTGCTTTGCAGCATGCTGTTCATATTATAAGTAGCTGTTTTCCATTTCTTAGAAGAGCGGGAGGACACCTGGGATGTATGACCACAAACATAGAAATGCAGTAAATCATGGGGAAGGAAAACAAGTCCTTTGCTTACATGCTACTTTTCTATGTGCAGGTTCCCCCCCTTTTTTTTAAAGGTTAGAATATTCAAATATGCAAAACTGCCACTCCAGGCTCCTATTAGCCCCTCCCTCCCATACATACCTGCAGCCTGAAATGGAGAAGTCTGAGAAAAGGTTTTGCATCTGATTTTGAGTAAAATGGCCCTCATATTGGACCTCAGAGATATTTGCTGTAGGACCATGACACAGATTACAAATTAGTAAACTTGTGGTAGGAAGTTGCAGCTGCAATTCAGTTGTACTTACTATGTATGTGACAGAAACAAACATTTGCTATCTGTGCACACTATGCCTGTATGACCATAAATGTTTTACACATA